ATTAAAGATGATACAAATAGATGGAGAGATATACCATGTTCTTGGTTTGGAAGAATCAACACTGTAAAAATGACTATACTACCCAAAGCAATCTACAGATTCAGTGCAATCCCTATCAAACTACCAATGGCATTTTTCATAGAACTAGAAAAAAAAATTCACAATTTGTATGGAAACACAAAAGACCCTGAATAGTCAAAGCAATCTTGAGAAAGAAAAATGGAGCTGGAGGAATCAGGCTCCCGGGCTTCAGACTATAGTACAAAGCTACAGTAATCAAGACAGTATGATACTGGCACAAAAACAGAAATATAGATCAATGGAACAGGATAGAAAGCCCAGAGATAAACCCATGCACCTTAGGTCAACTAGTCTATGAAGAAGGAGGCAAGGATATACAATGGAGAAAAGACATTCTCTTCTAAGTGGTGCTGGGAAAACTGGACATCTACATGTAAAAGAATGAAATTAGAAAAATCCCTAACACCATACACAAAAATAAACTCAAAATGGATTAAAGACCTAAATGTAAGGCCAGAAACTATCAAACTCTTAGAAGAAAACATAGGCAGAACACTCTATGACATAAATCACAGCAAGATCCTTTTTGACCCACCTCCTAGACAAATGGAAATAAAACAAAAATAAATAAATGGGGGCTTCCCTGGTGGCGCAGTGGTTGAGAGTCCGCCTGCCGATGCAGGGGACACGGGTTTGTGCCCCGGTCCGGGAAGATCCCACATGCCGCGGAGCAGCTGGGCCCGTGAGCCATGGCTGCTAAGCCTGCGCATCCGGAGCCTGTGCTCCGCAACGGGAGAGGCCACAACAGTGAGAGGCCCGCGTACCACAAAAATAAATAAATAAATAAATGGGACCTAATGAAACTTAAAAGCTTTTGCACAGCAAAGGAAACCGTAAACAAGACAAAAAGACAGCCCTCAGAATGGGAGAATATATTTGCAAATGAAGCAACTGACAAAGGATTAATCTCCAAAATTTACAAGCAGCTCATACAGCTCAATATAAAAAAAAACAAACAACCCAATCCAAAAATGGGTATAAGACCTAAACAGACATTTCGCCAAAGAAGACATACAGATTGCCAACAAACACATGAAAGAATGCTCAACATCATTAATCATTAGAGAAATGCAAATCAAAACTACAATGAGATATCTCACACCATTTAGAATGGCCGTGATAAAAAAATCCACAAACAATAAATGCTCAGAGGATGTGGAGAAAAGGGAACCCTGTTGCACTTTTGGTGGGAATGTAAATTGAAACAGCCACTATGGAGAACGGTATGCAGGTTCCTTAAAAAACTAAAAATAGAACTACCATACGGCCCAGCAATCCCACCACTGGGCATATACCCTGAGAAAACCATCATTCAAAAGAGTCATGTATCACAATGTTCATTGCAGCTCTATTTACAGTAGCCAGGACATGGAAGCAACCTAAGTGTCCATCGACAGATGAATGGATAAAGAAGATGTGGCACATATATACAATGGAATATTACTCAGCCATAAAAAGAAACGAAATTGAGTTATTTGTAGTGAGGTGGATGGACCTAGAGTCTGTCATACAGAGCGAAGTCAGAAAGAGAAAAACAAATACCGTACGCTAACACATATATATGGAATCAAAAAAAAAAAAAAAAGTGGTCATGAAGAACCTAGGGGCAAGATGGGAATGAAGACACAGACCTACAAGAGAATGGACTTGAGGATACGGGGAGGGGGAAGGGTAAGCTGGGACAAAGTGAGACAGTGGCATGGACATATATACACTACCAAATGTAAAATAGATAGCTAGTGGGAAGCAGCCGCATAGCACAGGGAGATCAGCTCGGTGCTTTGTGACCACCTAGACAGGTGGGATAGGGAGGGTGGGAGGGAGATGCAAGAAGGAGGAGATATGGGGACATATGTATATGTATAACTGATTCACCTTGTTATAAAGCAGAAACTAACACACCATTGTCAAGCAACTATACTCCAATAAAGATGTTAAAAAAAAAGAAAAAGATGGTCACCTTATCTTTGATAAAGGAGGCAAGAATATATAATGGAGAAAAGACAGCTTGTTCAATAAGTGATGCTGGGAAAACTGAACAGCTACATGGAAAAGAATGAAATTAGAACACTCCCTAACACCATACAGTTTCCACGGGGGCAGAATTCACTAGATTCTGAGAAGATTCACACTTCAAACTACCACACTTGGGACAAAGGCTCTTTCAATTGATGTTTTAGTTTAAATTTTATTTCCTGCCCCCAAACATCCATTAAACCCCCAGGAGAAGGAAAAGGGGATGTGACTAGCAATATAGAGAAATTTTCTTCACAACAATGGCCATGGCAAGCTTAGGCACTTTTGGTGAAATCTCTCTGGGAAGTACTGGCAGAGGAATAAAAGACAAACTGACACAGAAGTATTGCTTGGTGTGCATTTCCAGGCTCTGCCTTCTTTCTCATCTCTTGGTGGCAGGTGAAGGAAGAGGAGAAGAGGTTAAACTTTTTTATAAACCGGCAGAATAAGCTTATAACATCCTCTCACTATCTCTGCATAGGTTCTAGTCTCTGCAGCATTATATAAGCTTTGCCCAAAGTAATGAACAGTTGAAAGTCAAATATAGTACTTCACCAAACAACTTAAAAATGGTTGCACGCTGGAAAGGATTAAGCTGCAGAGAACACAAATGGACTCAGAGCAACCTTTGCCAAAAGAGAATACTGTGCTAAATGTACAGTCATAGCTCTTTTCCATATGAAGAAACAGTCAGAAGGATAAAAGAACTTGGTCAAAATCACACAAGTAAGTAGGACAGAATCTGGTCTGTCTGTCCTAAGGGTTGTGTTCTTTAACCACCAGGCTAGCTTTTCTCAAATCTGATTCATGCATAGAATAACTATACACCTCTGTTTGCCTTGAATATTCCCTGTTTATACGTATGCCTGCTGCAGTTTTTAATATTGCCCACTTTGACTCCCCAAAGCAACCAAGAACACACGATAATTTGGTCACTCTATCCATGGACCACTGTGGTGGGACTGCCCAGGAAGCTTATTAAAAGTGCAGCTTCCTGGGCTTCCCTGGTGGTGCAGTGGTTGAGGGTCCGCCTGCCGATGCAGGGGACGCGGGTTCGTGCCCCGGTCCGGGAAGATCCCACATGCCGCGGAGCGGCTGGGCCCGTGAGCCATGGCCGCTGAGCCTGCGCGTCCGGAGCCTGGGCTCCGCAATGGGAGAGGCCACAACAGTGAGAGGCCCGCGTACTGCAAAAAAAAAAAAAAAGTGCAGCTTCCTGAGCCCTACTCCAGATCTAGATAAGTTTTCTGAGGGTTGGCTCAAGAATCCAGGTACAAGTCTTTTTAAGTGGTTTTGTGGAACCCCCCAGGTGAGTCTCTCGCTCTCTTAAGTTAATAAACCATTTATTCTGCCTCCCCCAGGTGCCCAGCCAGGTCCTGTTAAGGTAGGAGTCCCTGCACCACATCAGAGGGATTCTCCCAGCCAAGTAATCTCTGGAGCCTTGGAGAATCTGAATGGTCTCGTGCTGCCCCACCTGCCATGACAAACCTCCTCCAGAGCATTCCCCTTCACAGTTTACCTTCTACAACTCCCAAAGGCAGTCTGCTCCAATGGGGCCTGACTTCGTCTGTCCTAACGTGCACCTGCTGATTCAAGCAGTTTAGGAATACAAGGTGCTCTCAACCAGGGTGGCCCAACCTCTAAAATAGTAGTGCAAGCGGTCTCTACCTCCTGGGCACATCGCCTCTGCAACAGCCCCAGTAAACGAACGTCCCATCTTTGCTTTTCAAGGTCAGCAACAGGGAGTCCCCTCCTAAAGAAGGTTCCCTCTCATTGCCACACTATCAAAGGCTGCCCCAAATGCGATTCCTTCCTGTGGGCCTGATCAGGCTAAGGGCAGAGTTGTCTCTTTCCTTCTCTGAGTCGGACCAAATCGTCTTAGTAACACCTCTTCAGTGTTGACCATGTTTTTCACGGAGGCTGCTGCTGAGCCTTTATCTCATCCTTTCATGGTGGAGAGAGAGAGGAGTATACTGATTTTTACTTCTAGGGGAGAGGGGAATGTAATGATTATGTTGTCATTTTGTATTATGTCCTTTTGTCATGAATTTGTTTTGAATTTCATGTTAAAATGGGCTCACCATTCCCACTTTGTGAGGTCATTCAGCACCCTCATTTTGCACCTTTAACATCTCTCTCAGTATCACTTGGAAATGTTTGAAATGGCACGAGCTTGTCCTCACATTCCTATCAGTTGTAAATCCAGAGCCCCAACCTGAACCTAACCATTGAGCAGAACACCCCTCCACTACCTGTGTAACACTGGGTAGGCCCCTTAACCTCTTGGTTTTTTTAAGTCCTCAGGTGTAAAAATGTGAGGGTGCTATGAATTTATATTTGGGGCAGGACAAGGTCGAGAAGAGTGTCTTTGCTTTTATTCTTCCAAACTGGAATGTCTTCCCTCTCTTCCCCATGGGTCCAAATCTCACTTGTCCTTCAGGCCCACTGCCAAGGAGCCTTCCCTGATTCCCCAGTCCACACAAATCTCTGCCTCTTAGGGTCAGTGCCATACAACCTAGCTGTCTCTTACGTTAATCTTGCCTCTCAAGCCAATCTCAGAATGTGGGTCTCTCTTGCCCTCCTGTGGCCCCTGGGGCTGTGCCAGCCCACCGGCACGCCCCACATGGGGTGTCTACTAGGCTAGGGCATGGGTGGGGAGGCCCAGGTGTGAGAGGCCAGGCAGAGTACCTCTGCCTGCACCCTGCTGTCCTCCACAAAACTGCCCCTCCTCCTGAAGGCTGCCCCTCAAGTCACAGGTTCCTTATATGACCTCACTGGGTAGTGATGACCTCACAGGCCTTCTCACAGTTTCCATGGCAGGGTAACCATGCAAACGTGCTGCCCTCAGAGAAACTTCCCTACCAGTTCTCCACCAGACACCAATCTCTTTCGTTGTCTGAGAGAGAATGTCTGACCAGATCTTCTATATTTACTCCAACCTGTCCTCTGTTCCCTGGGTGGGCAGTGCAGCAGGTACACTGAGACAAGGCATCGGTACAGGAGGCATGCTGTACTGACAACCTCACCTGGCTGCCACATGTTCCTGTGGGGCTTGCCCACCACACACACCTAAGCACTTTCCCAGCTGTAAGTAATAGCAGTGACCTGGGACACCTTCAGGGACCCACAGTGCTCACTGCTGAGGACAAGTGAAAGGTCATCCCTGGACAAGTGTGCAGGAAGGTTCTGATCTTTATAAATGTAGCCTTCCCCTTTGGGCTACAGGATGCTTCCATTCAGACCTTTTCCTGATTGGCCTCTTAGCAAAAGACAAGTGCATTTTTGCTGGCAAATGGTAAATGGAGCAGTTTGAGGAAAAGGGCCACTCTTGAACCGCACCTTCAAGCCCCAGCACCTCTGTGCTGTCATGTAGACATCTATATCGGTCCCCTCAGACACATCCCATACTGAGCTGCTGAGTACTAGGGGAGAGGGTGTTGCCATATTGATGGGAAGACCGGAAGAACCAAGGGGGGTGATGAAGTGCTAGTGAGACTGGAGGGCTGAGGAGATGGTATCCCAGGAGGCTGGGTGGAAGTGAGCCTAGACTTGGTACCCAGAACCCGGTTCTGAGTCTCCTGATCACTCTGCCTCAGGACTTGGCCTTGTTCTAATCTAGATAAAAGTATCAGAGGGCTAGAGTTCAGTGTGGTTGAAACAGGCAGTATAAATGGGGCCCAAGAGGGGTTGCCAAGGTGGGCGGGGTTCTTAACCAATTTCTATTAGATTATTCTTTTCCAAACCTTGAAAGGCATTTCCATTAAAGCCTCAGAAGTGACAGACTGCAAGAAATGTTTTCTCTGTTGTGGAAGGGAGAGGTGGAGAGGATCATGACTGCAACTACTTTCGGGTTCTACTGTTTTCCCTGGAAACGGTGAAGAGACTTCCTCATCTGCTGCAGCCGTAGGCTCTAGGGATTGCTTTTGCAGCCAGTGTCCCTTCTCTAGGGACTCATAGAGGTGATGGGCCAAGGCTGTGTTTTGGATGTCAAGTAGATTAAAGGTCTTCAGCCAGAAACTGGGAGAGACATGAGAGAGGGAAATTCTGGCAGGAGACTGTGCACAGCAGAAGTGACTGATCAGTTCTGATTTTCTTTGCAGAAGCAGTGGCTCCCGTTTCTCCTCCTACACCTGGTCACTACCATGTCCTCAACTGAGGGTATGGAGAAACGCAGTTGGGCCGGCATGGGGAGACATCCTGCCTGGTTGGTGGCTACCGGGTCTACGGGGATGTTCCTTTGGCCACGCCAGCAAAGGTGGAAGCAGAGAAGCCAGTCCCCAGACGTGCTCCCAAGAGAAAGCACTCTCCGGAAGAGCTGGACGAAGAGCTCAGTTGCTCCAGACCCAAAATCTGGCAATTGTAGCATGGTGCCAGGAGGCGGACCCCACAGAATCTTGCAGGTGAGCCATTCTGAAGAGAGGGCAATGGTTTAACTGCCTAAGGCAGCGAATGCCTCTTCCTGCAGTGACCCCCCCCACCCCGCCCCGCTACTGCCCACTGCCACAGATTAGAACCTGCGTCATTCTCTCTGAGCCTTCCTCAGCCAGGAGCCTCCTTCCACACTAAATGGCCATAAGCAAGAAGTCTCAGAAACTGAGGTTTGAAATGAGTCTGCCCTGAACATCCCAGGGCTGAAGCTGGCCTGGAAGAAAACCTGACGTTCCTCTGCTCAATCCTCAGGGGCCCCTTTGTGAGCTGAAGAAAGTCAAGTCTGCACTCTGCGAGCCAAGGAGGATGCAGGAGCAGAGACAGGGTGCAGAGAAGCCTTAGCAGTCTGCCACATGGGCTCCTGCCCTGAGCCATTGTCAGCGGCCACCACCACAAACCAGCGGGGAGCTGGGCTTTTCGAAACTGTAAGCAGAAATCTGTGGCTTCCCAAAGAGCCTCCTGCGTGGCGTCTCAGGAGGCAGGATAGAGAGACCCAGGAAGACCGGCTCCCTGAAGCAAGAACAGGATGGAGAGTCAAGCAGCACGCACCCTGCCCCGAGGTTCACATGCTCCTTTATTCCCAGCCCTTTCTGTCCCCAGTGCGGTCCCTTACTGCTCAATAAAATGTTTTTTCTGTAACATATTTCTAGGGTCGCCAGTGCTCAGACTTAGGTCACTACCCCTGTGCTAGGCACTCCTGCCACCCGGGGGGATCAGAGCAAAAACTTGAGAGGCTGGGGATGAAGGAGTTTGGGCACAGTCCCTAAAGCATCTCAGTGGTTGCTTCTCATCTTCTGTGAGAAGGCACATCCCGTGTGTGTGTGTGTGTGTGTGTGTGTATGTGTGTGTGTGTGTCTGTGTGTGTGTGTGTGTTGGGGGGAGGGGGTCCCTAGAGGAGGCAGCTGGGGGAGGGCCTGAGGCTGGAAATGGGGAATGGCGTGCGGCCTCTGAGCAAGCACAGGCACTTAACCCTTGAGGTTTCTGGGAAACCTAGAGCCACAAGGGCCACGAGATAAGGCAAGCGTAGCAGCAGAACCCAGGTGCCAGGTCATTCCTCAGAACCTATACTTCTCCACGAGGCCAGGCCTTCCATGCTCAGGTAGGAGGGATCCTGGCCAGAAGGTCAGCCAGCAGCTCTGGGAGGAAGTTTGCTGCGGTGGGGGCTCTGCTGCCATGGAAACGACTTCATTTCCTTCCACTCAAATAGCCTACTGACTGGGTTCCTGCTCTGTTGAGTAAAAGGGTTGCTGACTCTCCCCAGAAGGTTGTTCAGTTCACATCCCAAAAGTCCTTCTATTCAGGCCCTGGGGAGGTGTAGCAACTCCTGAGGGTGCTCTTTCCTGAGGCTGGCTGACAGAAGTGGGGGAGGTTCCTGATAGTTCCCAGGTGCTGGTTCAAGTCCCCAGAGAATGGTCATGCAGGTTGGGGTGTCAAGTAGGTGGACAGAGAAGGTCGGGGGCAGAGGGCCTCTTCCTGAATCCAGAGCTCACAAGGTTACCTCCCCCCCACGAAATTTCCAGAAACTATCTCTTTCCCCACACCAGCCCCCATGGGCCAGTACTGGGAAACCGGGAGCCCAGAGCACCTGTGGCCACAGAGACAACTCGCACGCAGCCCTCGGGGTGGACGGGGCCGGCTGCAGGCAGATGGGGACGAGGTGTGCTCCCGGGAGGCCTCAGGCTGAAGGTGGCCCTCTGAGAGAAGCACCCCAGCTTGGACAGGAAGGTTAGAGGTGGGGAGAGCAACCTAGGGCGCCCCCTCGGAGCAGTGGGAGTGGGAAGAGGGGCGGGGGCAGAGGGAACCCGCGATGGGAGGCGAGTGGGCTCTCAGCAGAGGCCAGTTTAGCCCGCGGGAGCTGCCTCTGAGCAGGGGCCAGGAGGGCAGTGCCGCCCTGTGGCTGCCGGGCTTCGCGGATCGCGGCTCTCCGCACACGGGTCGCAGGGTCCTGTGACGCTGTATCCCCTCCTTCACCCCGCCCCCTCGCGAGGACGCGCCGCTGGGTGGTCTGTGTCGACGGGCAGAACCCCATCGCCCGCCCCTCTCAGACCCGCCTCTGCCCGCCTGCCTGGCCCTGCGCAGCTTGCGGCCCGGGGGCCTCGAAGGTCCCCGTGCACTCAGCCAGCGGCCTCTGCTGTGTCTGCTGCTCCTGCTGGGTCTGCTGCTGCGGCCGGTAACCCGTGCAGACCACGCCAGGCACCTCCAGCACCCCAAGTCCGCGGGAGCGCACACAGGCCCTGATGCGGGACTTCCCACTTGTGGACGGGTGGCTGCAGTATGTGCGGGCTGCTGGGGGCCGGTGGGGGCCTAGCCTGGCCCTGGGCAGGGGAGGAGGTCCGGAGCATGCAGAGCTAGTGGGGAGGCTCCCTCACACCACCCCTGGATGTCCTCTCCATCATCTACAGATGCCCTTCCCCTTCTCTGTCATCCCCTCCCTGGTGGGAACCCCTCAGCCCAGGCCTCAGCTGCTCCTAGTATAGTCTGTGTGACAGTGGGAGGTGGAGGGCCCCAGGCTGGCCCAGGCCAGGCAATGTGTCCTGCCTGATCCCAAGACCTAAGGAGCCCACCCGTTTGCCTTGACCTCCCTCCAGCCACAAGGACATGCCCCTGGTCCTGAGGCAGTTTTACCACAATGGGCTACAGGATGTTAATCTGCACAATTTCAGCCATGGCCAGACCAGCTTGGACAGGCTGAAAGACGGTCTCGTGGGTGCCCAGGTACCAAAGGGACACACAAGGTGCCACCATGGCTGCTGGGGAATGTGGGGCCCTTTGGGGGCCTCAGAGACCACAGGTTAGTCACATTGGAACTAAGTTACCATAGTGACCTAGAAAGTGCCATGCCAAGGATGCTGGGGGCTACAGGGGTCACAGTGAGCCAGCCTGACGGGCACCCAAGTACCACAGAGAAAGCAACGCATTACATGTGACTTCCGGGCACAGTGAGTGCTGTGCCAGCTGAGCCCCAAGGAGTTCCAAAGCCCAGACTAAGCCCTGGCCTTCCCTCAGTTCTGGTCAGCCTACGTCCCATGCCAGACCCATGAACGGGATGCTGTGCGCCTCACCCTGGAGCAAATTGACCTCATCCGCCTCATGTGTGCCTCCTATTCTGAGCTGGAGCTTGTGACCTCAGTTAAAGGTAGAAGGGGGACTTCCCTGGTAATCCAGAGGTTAAGACTCCACGCTTCCACTGCAGGGGGCTCGGGTTTGATCCCCTGTGGGGCAACTTAGAGCCCTCATGCTGCGCGGCACGGCCAAAAAAACAAACAAAAAAAGGTAAACAGACTGGTGGTGGTAGGTGTTAGGGACTTCAGTAAGCTTCCCCTGCCTCTGAAAATGATCATCTGACCTACCTGCCCCCAGCTCGCAACAATACCCGGAAGTTGGCTTGCCTCATTGGTGTGGAGGGCGGCCACTCACTGGACAGTAGCCTCTCCATCTTGCATACCTTCTGTGTGCTGGGTGTGCGCTACGTGACACTCACCCACACCTGCAACACGCCCTGGTGAACACAGTGCGATGGTAAGGGCCCAGTGAGGCAGGGATCTGCCCAAGATCACGCTGGGGCCCAAAGCAAGTTTACCCCAAGATCCAGCCCTGAACCTGGGGTGGGGAGGGGAATGGAGGTTTGCAGAACAAGACTGGATCCCCAGAAGGGCCCTCCTACTGCCAGGCACAGCCCAGTTTGGGTCCCTCCTCTTGCACCAGGGAGTTGCAGGTGTAGACAGTTCGACAGAACCTCTTTCTAGGCTCTTGTAGCCAAGTCATGGCCACCAGTCAGACTGCCTCCTGGCCATCCTGCAGGGCACAGAGCTCAGCAAAGGGTATCCACCCCTTCTACAGCAATGTCAGTCGGCTGACCGGCTTTGGTGAGGTAAGGACCCGGGTTCCATACCCTGCCCCACATGAATGTACAGCCCCGCCTGTTCCCTACAGATAAATGCACACAAGATAAATGCAGCCCTGATGCCCTCTCCCCATCCTGTCCCTGCAGAAGGTGGTGGCAGAAATGAACCGCCTGGGCATGATGGTGGACTTATCCCATGTCTCGGATGCTGTGGCACGGCGAGCCCTAGAAGTGTCACAGGCACCTGTCATCTTCTCCCACTCAGCTGCCCGGGGTGTGTGCAAGAACACTTGGAATGTTCCTGATGATATCCTGCAGCTTCTGGTGAGACTGCCCTGGCCCTCAAACCTAAAGCAAGAGGTTCAAACCAGGAGCCCTTGAACCTGAGCCTCTTCTCCCTCAATTTCCTCAAACCCCAGGTTAAATATCTTCTGCCCCCAAAACCCACAATCCACAGCCCCTGAACTCTTGCACCCTAGGTGGGGGTCTAGGCGGTAAGATACTCCTCCAAACCCGGAAACCCAGGGCCAAGACACCACCCAGACCAGGGCTGCGGCTCCATTCACACAAACCCAGAGAGGAGACGACTCTGACCTCAAAGCCAGGGCTGAACACCTTCCTCACAGGGGCCAAGAGAGTGAACAGGCAGGTGGCTGTGCTGGGCGCCAAGCTGACTGTCCACCAGTCTGCCCCTGCAGAAGACCGGTGGCATCGTGATGGTGTCCTTGTCCGTGCGGGTGCTGCAGTGCAACCCGTTAGCCAACGTGTCTACTGTGGCAGGTGAGCCTCACCCTGGGCTCTCTGAAAACTCTGATTTGGAGCTGAAGCTGGGTCCAAATTTGGGGAGGACTTCAGAAGAGCCCCAGGGGTTTGACCCACCTACTGGCAATAGGTACAGCTCCCCAAAACCCAATAATGGACGGTACACAGCACCTTGGTGCCATGTGGAACTGGAGCCACGGAATCAAAACTGTGATACTGATGGGTATCAGGGAGGCTGTCAGACACAGAGCCCGGGTGCTGCCCATCTGTGCCTCTATAGGGGCTCCTAAAGCACATTGCCCCTACCTCTGGCCAAGGGACTGGACAGCTCCTTAGGTCTCTGGGGTCTTCTTCAGTTGTACTCTTGTTCCTCTCTCATCCTCCACACCCGAGGAAAGGAGCCCCCACAGGTTCTCAAGGAGACTGGGAGGCAGGGTGAATCTTGGGTGGTAAATGGCCCAAACAGGGTGCTCTGGGGTCCACTCCAAATCTGAAGTCCAGTCTAGAGCCAGCTGGGATCACTTCAGATCAAACCTCAGGGCCCTCTAGTTGGTATCTCGGTGCCAGGCCATGAAGGAACTGGCCTGTTTGACCTACAGGCTGAAAAAAGGGGAATCAACAGAGGCCAGTCATCACCCCCACCCCTGCCCTGCTGCCCAGCAGAAGTCCCAAACTGCTGACTTTCCATTCTTCAGATCACTTCGACCACATCAGGGCAGTCGTTGGATGCAAGTTCATCGGGATTGGTGGAGATTATGATGGGGCTGGCCGGTGAGTGCTTCCCCGTGGCTTGTCTCGGGCTGGCTGGGCAGCAATGGGGCTTTCACAGCCACCGTGCCCACCACACTGTGGTCCTCATGGCCTTGACCATAGCCTCAGGTGTGCTGGTCCAACTGGTATCTCCCCTCTCCCAGGGTCTGCTACCTGGGCTCTCCTGTCTGTTTGGCCCTATTCTAGGTCATCATATTTGTCTAAAACACCACACAGAGCTCATCTGCCCAGCATCTGTGCCCATCCAGTGCCAGCAGACCCACGGCCTCTGAGCAGACTCTTAGCAAGGTCTGGGCTGGGCTGACCATCTTCTCTGCCTGCAGTTGGGCCTGTGCATGCAGGGGGGTCAACCCAGTTCTTAAAAAGCTTTTCTTCTCTTTATAAATGGAGGCAAAAATTGCATTCAGTGAAAGGCATAGATCTTAACAGTACAATCTGATGACTTTTGGTGAATAGTCGAGGCGCTTTGGGGGCCTTCCTCTGAAGGTTGAAGAGCAGGAGTGAATCATCTACTCTCTCCAAGTCTCCATTTTCCATATGTGACCAGGGCTGCGCTTCAGTGGACCCTGAACACATAGGGCTTTGGTTCTGACTCAGGACCAGGGGACAGGTCTGAGGCCCAAGAGCTGGCTGGCTGGCGGCCACACAGGTTCCCACAGGGGCTGGAGGACGTGTCCATATACCCGGTACTGATAGAGGAGTTGTTGGGGCGTGGCTGGAGTGAGGAAGAGCTCTGGGGTGTGCTTTGAGGAAACGTGCGGTGGGTCTTCAGACAGGTGGAACAGGTATGCTGGGCTGGGCAAAAGAGTAGCTCTGAGCAGGTGGTCCAAGCAGGTGTACGTGGGGGTGCTGTGAGAGGTGCTGCCCGCTGACTGCCACCTCCTGGTACGGGAGGAGAACGAGGGACAGAGTCCCTGGGAGGATGAGTTCCCAGATGAGCAGCTGGGCAGCTCTAGCTCTTGCCGCTCCGTCCTCCCACATCTGCATCAGAGAGAGGATCTGGCTCCAGACCAGAAACTAACCAGAGCTGTGGTTTGTGGGAATCCCATTTTGTCACCTAAGTGGTCATTCTCAAAATCTTGCCCCCACATGGGCCCAGGCCCCACAGTTATTGCTGCCTTCCCAGTCCTCATTGTTTGGCTCTGGTGATCCAGTTAATCCTGCCAGATGTCACTCTGGCAGCCACAGATACCCCACAAAGTTTCCTTGCATGCGAGCACAAACATTTCCTGAAAATAAATGTTTTAGAAATGGAATCAACACGAGTGTCCTTCTCCGTGGTGGGGTCTGTGGTGCAGGCTCCCAATACTGGGGTTTGGTGGGGGACCCTGCAGTTTAGACACCAGATACTCAAGGAAGACCTGTTGGCAGTGGCCTGAGGAAACCCAGGTGGCTTGGCTCAGCACTGGAAGAAGACAGTGGGTGGCTCTGGCTGCGGGAGGGTGGACCTTACTCGGTTCCCTCTGTGTAGCTCACCTCAATCCATATCCTGACCCTCTGAGTACCACCTGGGGATCTTTCAGGGAATTCTGGTTCACATACCCAAGAAGAGAACATGCCTAGATCACAAATGATCTTTGCACCTATTTGGACAGAGCCCAGAATCTCAGGCTACTTAATGGGCCATGGACCTCCAATGGCTAGACACCTCCTTCCCTGTTCCTCAGGGACTTCCTCTCTAATCGGTTCAGGCTACTTCGACAACCACCCCATCTCCCCCCAGTTCATCAATGATAATAGCAACTGCACTAATTATATCCCAAATCGAGTAAATACATTGAGTTAATCATGAGAGGTAGGGCTTCCCTGGGGGCGCAGTGGTTAAGAATCCACCTGCCAATGCAGGGGACACGGGTTCGAGCCCTGGTCTGGGAAGATCCAACATGCCATGGAGCAACTAAGCCCGTACGCCACAACTACTGAGCCCACGTGCCGCAACTACTGAAGCCCGGGTGCCTAGAGCCGGTGCTCTGCAACAGGAGAAGCCACCACAATGAGAAGCCTGCGCACCGCAACGAAGAGGAGCCCCCGCTCACCGCAACTAGAGAAAGCCCATGTGCAGCAACGAAGACCCAACACAGCCAAAAATAAACAAATAAATAAATAAATAAAATTTAAAAAGAAAAGAGATACAATACAGTATTGTTAACCATAGTTGCCATGCTGTACGTTACATTCCAGAATGTATTTGTCTTGTAACTGGAAGTTTGTATCCTCTGACCACCTTCACCCATTTCCCCCCAACCTCATCCCCATAGGTTAAAATTTTAAATAGAGAAGCCCAGATAAGCTTCAATGAGAAGATGACATCTGAGCAGAGATTTGAGTTAGCCAAGTTGGTATCTAGTGGAAGAGTGCCCAGGAGAGGAAAGGGCCAGTGCAAAGACCCTGGGGCAGGAGCTTGTCTGGTGTGTTAGAAGAACAGGAAGGAGGCCACTGTGGTTGCAGCACAGAACGGAGAAGAGAGTAATGGAAGTCAGATACACAGTGGATGGAGAGCAGTAAGCAGATAGGACACAGTGGTCAGACCCTGAATGGCCTTGTAGGACGCTCTGCGGTCTTTGTTAGCTCTTCACGATAGGAGCCAGTGAAGGGTTTTAAGGAGAGGAGTGGCGTGACTGATCACATTCCCCATGATCACGGTGACTGCTGTATGAAAAACAGACTGTGGGGGCCACGGTAGACACAGGCAGGTCAGTTAGAAGGCTCTCCAGTCACCGATGTCAGAGCTGATGGTGGCTCAGGACGGAGAGATAGTAGGGGAGGTGGTGAGAAGTGGTCACATTCTAAAAATATTCTGAAGGTAGAGCAACAGGAGTAAAACGAAGAAAATCAAAATCCCATGTCCCAGAGATAACTGTAAATTTATTTATTCTAAGCAAACAAGGTCCTGTCTAAAAACCACAAAGCTTGCCCAGGATGCTCTTCTCAGAGGTACTAACTTTTTACTCCTCAGCCTACTCCGGCCTGGCCTCCCCCTCTGCCACTCTCCCCAGACCGCTCTGATTAAAGTCACCAATTACCTCGAAGTTGCTCAATCTATGAGACACTGACCTGGCCTCAATCTTGTTCTGCTAGCAGCGCATGGCATGGTTGAGCCTCCCCTCTTCCTTGATCTCTCGCCTCCCTGGGTTCGTCGACTGCACACTCTCCCAGTTTTTCTCTCTACCCCTGCTTTTCAGTCTCTTTTGCTGGTTTCACCTCCTCCCCTCACATGTTGAGGCTGCTCCTTAGTCGTGGGCCCTCTTCCCTTCTAATCTAACACATCCTCCCTCACAAATTTATTCACTCCCATGGTTTAAAATATTGGCCATGATCATCTCCAAAGGCATCCCAACCTCACACCAACTGCTCAAAACACAACCCCACTCGGATGTCTTAAGGGCATCTTCTACTCAACATGTAGAAAACAAAGCCTTGATCTTCCCTCCTAAGCCTTGTCCTCTGTCTCCAATTATTTATTCAACAGACACTTACTGAGCCCCTAAGATATGCCAAGCACTGGTAGGCACTAGAGATAAAATGATGAGGCAGGAGGGAAAGGTTCAATAGAACAGAGGGTTATAGAAAGGGAACTTACAAATATGTGTGAAATTAAAACCACGTATGGTGCTATGAAGGAGCAGTTACGTAAGGCTGTGGGAGTCTAGGTCAGCAGGGAAGAGACTGATGGGGGTTGAGGAGGGCCTCCCTTAAGAAATAATCTCTGGGGACTTCCCTGGTGGTGCAGTGGTTCAGAATCTGCCTGCCAGCACTATTTACAATAGCCAGGACATGGAAGCAATCTAAGTGTTCATTGACAGAATAGATAAAGAAGATGTGGCACATATACACAATGGAATATTACTCAGCCATAAAAAGAAACGAAAGTGATTTATTTGTAGTGAGGTGGATGGACCCAGAGTCTGTCCTACAGAGTGAAGTAAGTCAGAAAGAGAAAAACAAATACCATATGCTAACACATATATATGGAATCTAAAAAATAAAAATGGTTCTGAAGAACCTAGGGGCAGGACAGGAATAAAGACACAGACATAGAGAATGGACTTGAGGACACAGGGATAGGGAAGGATAAGCTGGGAAGAAGTGAGTGTCACTGACATACATACACTACCAAATGTAAAATAGACAGCTAGTCGGAAGCAGTTGCATAGCACAGGGAGATCAGGTCAGTGCTGTGTGACCACCTAGAGGGGTGGGATAGGGAGAGTGGGAGGGAGACGCAAGAGGGAGGGGATATGGGGATATATGTATACGTATAGCTGATTCACTTTGTTATACAGCAGCAACTAACACAACAATGTAAAGCAATTATACTCCAATAAAGATGTTAGAAAAAAATAATAGTGTTGTGAAATAAAAAAGACATGGTAAGTGGCGGCATTTGGGAATTGTTTGTTGTATTACAATGAAAACTTCACGAACTGTAATTTGTTGGTTATGCCATATTTATGTATTTTTATTTTTACTATATGAAGTATCCTTCCAGAATATTTTAGCCAAGCCTGTAACAACATTCTGTGTGTGTGTTTGTGTGTGCATACATGCATGTGTGTATATGTATGGGGTGGGCGGGCAGGTTACAGGAAAGAGAAGTGTAGAGCTGACAGAGATAGGTCAATCCAGCAGATTTTTGCATTTCCCTTCTCTGACACCTTAGGAAAATCCATCCACATACACATTCCATGTGTTTCTGTTGGGATTGTCAATCCCAGTGTCAGTATACTCCCTGAAGTTTGATACAGACATACCAAGAGAAAGGAGTTCTCTCTCTTCCTTTGGATCCTAAGTTATTAAGATAACATTAGGAGGTTACTAAATGCCATTTTTCTCACTATGTGTAAAAACCTTGGCTGAGAATGTCTAGTGGGAACCAAAGCCAAGAGATTAGAAAAAGAAAGAGCTGCTTAACATCATTTGATAACCTGGATCAGACTGTTCCTGAAGCCCTTCTTTGGGTAATCTCAATAACATCATCCATTATTTTTTCTTTTGTATCTATGCCAATTTGAGCTGTTTCTGTCTCATGCTACCAAATGGATACCATCTACTTCAACTGAATCATCCAGTGGAGATATTTTTTCATTTCTAAATGGAGGCTTGGGTCAATAAAATGTACGGGATTCCTAAGAGATAACCAAAGCCCAACCCAAGAATCTCTGACCCAAGCCTTACTCCATCTGGATAAAAATTCAGATTTTGGTTTCTTCGCATGGGACCTTCTCAAACACTCTTGTTTCTCACAGAGTTTGCACTCACTCCTGGGCTACTATGGGGTGACCTTCCAGCCCAATCAAGCCCTGCCCCCAGGTCCCCTACACCAATATCAGCCCACTTGGAGATGCAGGAGGGGGCAATCAGAGACCCAGTTGGCAGGCTTGAGAGAACCCTTCCTAGCCCCTGTACCTCATCAAACTTCACAGTGTACTGAGTTGATTTATGAGAAAAGGTTATTAAAGCATGTAAGAGCTCCTGCTGGAGAGAAAATTATCTGTATAAACAAAGTGTTATTACAGGAATCGGGGAGGCCACATGTGGGAAAGGTCATTAAAATAAGGAAAAACTGGCATATCAATCCCTTCTAAATCACTGATCTCGCATGAGAGAAGTTAAATATCTCTATATCTCACATGTTTCTTTTTGATCATTAGTCCTTCCAGCTCAGAAGGGGACATTCTCAGATGCTAAATTGCTGAGTACTTTAAATTAGGGGGAACTTCTAAGACATAAGTTGTGAAGTTGGATTTTTGAAGGAGGGCTCAATTAGAGACTGCATAGTAATACAAAGCAGGCACTTGAATCTCTAGAGTGTTATTTTCTCTCCTACAAATGAAAGACTAATTTTTTCCTTTGCTTCATTTGACAAGATTTGATATTTTCCATTCTTTCTCCTAACAAGGGGGAATGCACAACAGTCACCCTGTATACAGTGGTATAATTCACAGAAATGATTTTCAGGCTTTGGGTTAAGAAAACAAATCCCCTTAGTAGATTAGTTTGTATTAAAAAAAAAATTTGAGTTAGGGCCAGATTCCTCCCATGGAAATCATATTAGTAAACAGTTGGTTCCATTAAGATATTTTACTCAAGTTTGGTTCTCTGAGCCAGATTCCTTTGTTCTTAACAAGGGGTTTTGACAGCCCAGCTCA